CCCCAAACTCCCGTCTGACGCGTTTCCCAAAGAGGTTTATTACTGTCGCTTTAATGCAGTACTTTCAGTCATTGTCAAAACTTTTATGGTCAAACACCTTCCTTCTCAAACGCCCAAATAACGTGGCTTTTGTTTAGATTAGGAGAGTTTCGACACGACCCTTGTTCATGAGTGTTATCTCCACTACTTTTATCAGGCGATTTGATGTCATTTTGATCATTCTGAAGTCAGTCCTCTTGTGAACATAACGTATTGTAAGTGGAATTTGTGTAATCCAGAGTATATTAGTGATACTAGCCCTATAGGTAAAATGAATTCTCAAAAGTTTGATTAGGTTTTAACAGCTGTAATGAAATCTTAATAAATTTAGTCAAGTCTGATCAAGTTAGGATAAGTTCGTTCGATTTTGATTAAAAGTTTGATAAAGCTTCATAAATTATCTTTAGATATATATATATATATATATATATATTTTTAATCTCAATAAAGTTATTTATTTAGTTAAGTTAAAATAAATTCAGGAAAATTTTAACATAAAAAGAAGTTCAGTTGAATTATTAGATTAAATGAAATTAAACAAATTTAGCAATATTAATCAACTTGAAATGAATAGATTTAGACAAGCTTCCTCAAGTTAAAATAAATCCAATCAAGTATACAGAAGTCCAATGAACTATATCTAAGTTTACACAATCTTAATCAAGTTTAAATAAGCTCACTCCAGCTTGACTTACGTTCTGTCGATTCCAGGGCGCGCTGACGGGCACCGGGAACGGACCGCGGCCTCCCATTCGCGTGGGGCCGAACAGACGCTGCCTCAAGCGCGATCGCCGGCGCCGGTGCGTCTACTGGTCCTCGGGATAAACAGCTGCTTAGGTTTAGATTCATGAAGATTATTGGTTGTTTTGTTTCGTTTGGATTTTCACAGGTTGCTTGATTGTTTGTATTATTAGGAAAGAACATTCAGTTGTTGTTTTTTCTGGTAGGTTTATGTTTACTTTGATTTTAATATTTTTGTTTGTTTGTTCGTTTTAGTTTTTAGTCTACTAGTCCACGGGATGAACAGCTGCTTATTTGGTTTTGAATTCATGAAGATTATTTTTGGCTCTGGGGGTATTGCTGGAAATGACGCTCAGTACTAAAATGAAGAATATGATCTTATCATCCGATAGAACGCTGCATCCTAAGAACGATTTCCTATATAGCATTTCCTTCGCAGATAAATAATAAGGATAGTAGAGAGGGTTGTAAAAAAAAAAAAAAAAAAAAAAAAAAATCCAGGCATTCCATATCACTCTTCCAGCGGCGAAAAAATAACGAGGAAACGACGAATAAATGTTTCACATCAACTAAATTATTAAAATACTTCACTTCGATCATTCGCTTTTACCCCGCAATTTCCCTGAAACTTCCCATGCCCTCCCTAGATATCCTTTGGCGTCAGTTCCAAATTTACCTTTCGTTTTGCATTCTTTTATTTTTCAAACACACAGATCTTTTTCATGGTGATAGAATAGTATATAGTATGGCTTAGAAATGTAACAATACCATTAAAGAAAAGAAAGGACAAATATTCATGAAACATGTTTCTTATACCCTTTTCCTTCCAATTCTTTCACATACCATTAACTTACACAATTAATCAATTAACCTTCGCAAATACTATACAAAGATAATGTTGTAAATCTCACACTATATACCTTAATTACATTATTTCCACAAAGGAAAGCTTTCACATATAAATGAAGCACGAGGTTCACTTTGCTTCGAATCAAAACATAGACCCCAAATCACTGCGCGGAACACTGGCAGATAATTCAAACCAAAATAGAACACACACAACTTGTCTGAAGGAAAGATACAGTAAATTATGAATACAGTATTTGTGATCACTAATAATACAGTTATTATTGCTATTGTTATTAATAATAATATTATGATTATTATTGTAACTATCTTGTAATAACAATAATAATGATTATTATTGTTGTTATTGTTATCATTGATGTCCTTATCATTTTTATTATTATTACTATTATTGGTGACATTATTCTAATTATTATTATCATTACCATTATCGTTATTATTATTATCATTATCATCATCATGATTATTATCATGATTATTGCTACCGTTATTATTATCATTATTGTTGTTGTTATTGTTGTTTTGTTTATAATTTTTATTACCCTCATCATGATGATAATTACTATTATTACCATTATTAGTTTTATTACTGTCGTTCAGGCAGAAGGAGAAAGGGAGGGGAAGGGACTTTAAAGGGAAAGGGGGGATGGGGGGGGAGGAGACGGAGGGAACTTAAAGAGGAAAGGAAGAGGAAACGAAGGGAAATTAAAGAGGAAAGGGGAAAGGGAGGGGAAGGGAGGGAATGGGGATAAGGGAGCGAAAGAGGTGGGAGAGGTTAAGGGGGGTGAGGAGTGAGTGCATGAAAATTTGGGAGCGAGAGGGGCGGCGAGGGGGGGGGGGGGGGCGGGAAGGGGGAAGGGGGAGAAGAAGCGAAAGGTAGAAGGAGGGTGAAAAGAGGGAGAGAGGATGGGTGAAAATACCTTTCATATTGTTCCCTGGAATGTCCGCAAGTCCAGCTAGTTATCATCAACATATCCTTATCATCATCATTATTATTTCTATTACTGTTGTTATCATCAATATCATTATAGTGTTACAATCATCATTATCATTATCCCCATGTTTATGCTATGAGTAACATTTCAATTATCACATTTCATTTAATCATGAAAATAATGGAAACAAAATACTTGGGCTCGATCTCACAATAACCTGTAAACCGAATATTGTTATAATCTATTTAGCAAAAAAACAAAAAAAACAAAACAAAAAAACAAAAAAAAACACTTCTTGTGATTACGTCTTATCATAATTTGCTTTTACTTATTATAAGTATTTCTCTCTCTCTCTCTATTCCTTATTTCTTAATGACTATATATTAGAACATTTAATTTCCTGTTTAAAAGATGTGATAATTGCTCATCTTGTTTTATTATAGTAACAATAACATTATGGATAATTTAAAGATAATAATGATAATGATTATGGTACTAGTAATAACAACAATAATGATAATGATAATAGAAATAACAATAATAATGATAATAGTAATATCATTATCATTATGATCATTATTGTTATTATTGTTATTAGCGTCATAATGATAATAATGATAATCACAATAATGATGATAATAATACTGCTGATAATAATGATAATCACAATAATGATGATAATAATATTGCTGCTAATAATGATAATGATAGTAATAATGACAATAATAGTAATGATAATAATAGTAATAACGCTAATAATTATCATGATTATCATTATTACTATTGTTATTATCATTATCATTGTTGTTGATGATGTTATTATCATTATAATTATTATCACTATTATCATTTTTTATCACTATTACTCTTATTGTTATTGTTATCATTATTGCTATCATTATTAGAATTAGCATTATTGTTGTTATTATTGTCATTATTATTATTATTATTATTATTATTATTATTATTATCATTACTATCATCACTATTATCACTGTTGTTGTTATTATTGTTATCACTATTATTATCATCATTACTATTATCATCGTTATCATTATCATTATTATCATTGCTATCATCATTATTATTATCATTACTATCATTATCATTATTATTATTATCGTTATTGTTATCCTTATCATTAATAACATTATCATTATCAGCAATATTATCATTATCAATGTCACTATTATTATTATTACTATCGTTCTTGTCTTGCTTATCCTTATCATAATTATTAGCATTATCAGGATCGCCACTATTACTATTCCTATCACTATTACTACCATCATGACCATTATTATTATAATCTTTATCATTATTAACTCGTTACACTGTTGTACAATGGACAGAGTTCCTCCATTCTAACTGAATACACCTGCCAAAGCCCCTGAGAAGAACATCAAAATAACATGCTCGGTGCTGGAACCTCTTTCACTTAGCCATGAGTCAGGAATATATTTTTTTTCCTATACATGAGTTTCGAGAAGGATTAGAGAGAGCAAAATCACGCGTCAGAATGTACTACATATGGCTATGTAAAGAGGAAGACTATTTATGATTCTATCGATGTGTTTCCCGTATAACAAGAGGAAGGGATTTTGAAAAAAGAAAAAAGAACAAGAAGAGTAGGAAATTTATTGAAAATAAGACAATAACGCAACACACTTATACTACAAAAGAAATAGCATGCATAATAATTTTCTTCACAATCGTACGCCATCGTGAGGACAAGGAGAAACAAAATCAATGCAGTATGAAAAGAACCTCCTTACTTAAAGTGAAAAAATAATAAGCATATCAGTTACATCAACACTATATAAACGTAAACTCAACCATGGGAATAACACCAAGTCTCCTTTGACTATCATGTGGTAATGGGTTAGCCCGTGGATCTTTGAGTAGGTGTACAAAAAATGATAATAACGAAAACAAAATTACTTGTCTACCTTGACGATCGGCTCGACTCCAGGGGAAAGGAACGCGACTTCAAGCACGACCTGAGACAGATGGCAAAGGGGAAACACAGGTGCAGTACAGGATGAATGTATGCATGAATTCTAGGTTCTTTTTTCCACTCTGCAATGTAAGATAATTGTTTATGTGTGTCTAAGGGATTTCTTTGCTTATTTTTTTTTTCTTTTTTTATGTAACATAAATGTACAGTGTAAACATAAGGTAGTGTGTATATATACATGTGTATTTGTGTGTATGTGTAGATAGATAGATAGACAAAAACATAGACATATAGATTAATAGGCAAATATATAATCATAAATTCGTTTTCTTTCTCTATGCCAAATCCCCAGAAGCATCGCGTGTCACGTGACGCAACCAAATCACAAATCTACAGGTTTCATCTGGGATTTCCGTTCAACGTCTCTCTCTCTTCCCTTGGAAGTGAGCTGCCCAGTTGTCGCTGAACATCTGTTGTGAACGTACTAACGCCGTGTTCAGAGCCAACTAGAGGAGTTTTTAGGATAGTGCACAGTTCTGTAGAGTAAGGATGCTGTGTGTGTGTTGAGGGGGGTGGGGTTGTATGTGTGTTGTGTTTGTGTGTATATTGTATTTGTGTGTGTTGTGTTTGTGTGCGTGTGTGTGTTTTGTTTGTGTGCGTGTGTGTTGTGTTTGTGTGCGTGTGTGTGTTGTGTCTGTGTGTGTTTTGTGTTTGTATGTTATATTTGTGTGTGTGTTGTGTTTGTGTGCGTGTGTGTGTTGTGTCTGTGTTTGTGCTATGTTTGCGTGTGTGTTTTGTGTATTTACTTAATTGTTTAAATTTTGATACATTCAAGAGAATTATAGTTTGTATTATCGTAAAACTTTTGCATTCATTTATTGCTTCTGGTCTACCCTGGCGTAGGGGTCGGTTTTAGTGCGTCACTGCACCTGGATTCGCGGCATATGTTGGTGTTCGATTCCGTACTTCAGTTACAACGCCATTTTTAAAAAGTTTTCGATTAATGCTTTTGAAGACTGGCGCGAATCATTATATAGTTAACCTTCTTTGTAATTATGTATGTCGTCTGATGAGAATGTGTATTTATTGTGTGTGTGTGTGTGTGTTGCAGTAATGTAAGCGGATAATGTTCCTATGTTTCACATAAGGTTACTTTCATTTCGTATTTGCAGACAAGAAAAATGAAACTGTATATCGCCGTCTGCTTTGCAATTATAACACAAATGCACTTCAGCGTTCCCGCATGTGTAGGTCAGTGACATTTCCTCTTTGATGTAAAATGGGGATTGTCAAGATATCTGACCCTTTCAGTCTTAATGAAGTATAGCTTTATTTTTCTGTCGCTTATTAAGCAAATGGTCATTTATTTTCCAGACATTGAAGTGGACGGCCCGTTTTATGCCGGAGGCCGCGACGCAGGTATGCCGTTGGTGGTAAGTCGTTGTTTGCACTGTAAACGGGATAATTACTGTGAAAAAAAGGTTTTGAAGGTCTTTGCCAAACTAAAATAAGCTACACGCAAAGCATAAAAAAAATCCCCAAATGTTAATGAAGCTTAAAATGAATCACGCAAAGTAAGCTACAGATTTTTTTTTTTTTTTTTAATCCCCAAATCTTGATGAAGGTTACTAAAACAGGCCACGTAACGTACAAGCTTTAAAGATTCCCCAAATTGTGAAGAAGCTCAATAGCTTATTATTATCCTATTTTCACAGTAAAGGCGTCTTCTGTACGCGTCATAAAAGTTAATTCCAGATTAAAGCCAATCCAAATCCACAATACTTGCACAGATCCAAGACACTGCCAAGCGCACGAGTCAATGAGATGATTATCAGTAAATCTGCTGTTTTGCATGAAAAAGCGGGTATCTGAGTAATGACAATAAGCATTCACCCTCTACAAGTTTCATATTATACGCTAATGTCTTTAAGGAAGCGTTTGCTACAGAGGAAAACATTTATACACACATATACGTTAGTTTTATACCATGCCGATGTATATGTGTCAGTACAAATTAAATGATATAAATGGCTTCAAATATCCTATAGATATTATAGCCAACCCAAATGCAGGTGTCAAACAAAAGTGAGATACTTGTAATATAAATATATATTCGCGGGAGTTTTTTTTCCGATAGTTCTTTCTCGTGAGTGATCGCGAGGCACGGGAAGGGTATTTTTTTCAGGATGTTGCTGTCGAGGATCATGATAACAAATGTCCACTCAGTTTTGAAGTCGCTATAGTTTAAAGAATATTGAAGTTTTTACTTTGAATATGAAACGTAATCGTGTTGTTATCAAAAGCTTTCTCTTTTATTCGATTAATATACTGCCTAAGTTGGGAATGTTTTTCCAGCCTGGAAATAACATTGTCCTCTCTGTGTCTGAAACCTCTGCGATTCTCTGAAGGATTTTCTTTTCATTTTTCAGTGCTAAGAGTTATATCTGCAGTTTGAATATTTAATTACTTATAAAAATATATATTGCTGAATTTTCACTTACATATTTGACATGAAAATGTCAGAATTTGTTTCGTTACTGCTTATTATAGATATTAATAGTAACTCATCTCCATCTTTTCTATTGAGTTGATGACGAATAATGTATCAGTTCATGATTGCCGGGATTAAGTAGCTCGTTCTGCGCATGTGCAGGATTAAGATTTGAGCTCAAAAGGTTGGTCTGGAGGTGAATTAAATTTAATCCTGGACGCTGCCAATAGGCATGCTTAATGGCAGCTCATAAATTTTATGGCGCCTACAGACGACGCCCAAAGTTTAAATATTTAATTTAAGTCTTTTTATTTTAGGGTATGCTAACAGGCGTCGGCGGTAACCGACCGAGGCCTCCGAATCGAGTTGGGTCCGACGAAGCGGTGTCTCCTGTACGGTGATAACGGCCGCTGTGTCTATTGGTCGGGAAATGGATAATTTTGTTTGGTTTTAGAATAATTGTTTTGTTCGGTTTATGTTCAATTCAGTTCTGATGCGCCTTTTTTCTATTGTCTTTCCTCTTTTTTTCTTGGATTTGCTTTGTTCGTCCTGTTTATTTCATTTCGTTTGTAATTTCACTACTGATTTTTTTTTCTTAGTTTTTAGTTGTAGTTTACATTTAGTTCAGTTCAGATTTTGTAAATTTCAAAACATATTGGTTAACAGTTTGTGTTCCGTTCATTTCAAATCAGCCTTTTGAATTCCCATTCAGATTAATGTTTCATTTTAATTCAATTCAGTTTGGATTCGTTTCTTTGTCGTTTAAGTTAGTAAATTTCCTTTTAAAGTTCATCTCAGTAATTCGTTTGGTTCCACTTGGATCACTTCTGAGAAATGTGCAATTGCTCCAAAACTTTATCAAGGAAGAAATGTTTTCCTTCTCTCAATATGAACACGATGTGTCCATTTTGTGTGTTTTATAACCTGTTATTCTAAATAAATATTTACCTGTTCCATGTTTCTTTTTAAGGAAATTCCCTTCTAATAATAATACACGCGACAGAAATAACGTGGTGTATTAAGACTCAGAGCGAAAAACAGGATGTTTGTCTGTCTTTCCTGCTGAGACCAGTTACAGCAGACTTCAAAATAAATGGTGATTATGAAAGCTGATCTGATACCTCGAGTACAGTCCTCAGCCTTCCTCATGATACCCCTCCGGCCCAGAGCTAATGATGATAATCCCCATAATGATTGAATCCAGAAGGCAATTAGGAGCCCCAGAAAAAGAAAAAAATGCTGGTACTCTTAGTTTGGCAGATAGAAAACAGTAGAGGGTTTCAATCAAATCCTCTCGTTTAACTCACTTCAACTGTTACATGATTTTTTCCGTAAAAAAAAAGAACAAGAAGAGTAGGAAAATTATTGAAAATAAGACAATAACGCAACTCTCCGATACCTCAAAAGAAATAGCATACATGATATTTTTCTTCACAAACAGTGTATAAAAGTAAATTCTACCATGGGAATAACACCGTCTCCGTTGATTATCATGAGGTAATGGGTTAGCCCGTGGATCTTCGAGTAGGTGTAAAAAAATATAATAATAATAAAAACAACCTTGACGATCGGCACGACTCCAGGGGAAAGGAACGTGACTTCAAGAACGACCTGAGACAGAGGGCAAAGGGGAAACACAGGTTCAGTACAGAACGATTGTATGTATGAATTCTAAGTTCTTTTATCCTTTCTGCAGTGTAAGATAATTGTTTATATGTGTCTAAGGGATTCCTTTACTTTATTTTTTTAGTCCATGCTGTAATGTAACATAAATATATATTGTAAACACTAGGTAGTGTGTATATATACATGTGTATTTATGTGTGTATAGATAGATAGATAGACAGAAACATAGACATAGATTAATAGGCAAATATATAATCATATATTCGTTTTCTCTCTCTATTCCAAAGCCTCAGAAGCATCGCGTGTCACGTGACGCAACCAAATCACAAGTCTACAGGTTTCATCTGGGATTTCCGTTCAACGTCTCTCCCTTTCCTCTTGGAAGTGAGCAGCCCAGTTGTCGCTGAACATCTGATGTAAACGTACTGACGCCGTGTTCAAAGCTTACTGGAGGAGTGTTAATGGACAGAGGATAGTGCACAGTTCTGTAGAGTAAGGATGCTGTATGTGTGTTGGGGAAGGGCGGGTTTGTATGTGTGTTGTGTTTGTGTGTGTTGTGTTTGTGTGCGTGTGTGTGTTGTGTGTTGTGTCATTTATTGCTTCTGATCTACCCTGGCGTAGGGGTCGGTTTTAGTGCGTCACTGCACCTGGATTCGCGGCATATGTTGGGGTTCGATTCCGTACTTCAGTTACAACGCCATTTTTTAAAAGTTTTCGATTAATGTTCTTGAAACCTGGTGAGAATCCTTGTATAGTTAACCTTCTTTGTAATTATGTATGTCGTCTGATGAGAATGTGTATTTATTGTGTGTGTGTGTGTGTTGCAGGAATATAAGCGGATAATATTCCAATATTTCACATAAGGTTACCTTCATTTCGTATTTGCAGACAAGAAATATGAAGCTGTATATCGTCTGCTTTGCAATTATAACACAAATGTACTTCAACGTCCCCGCATGTTCTGTAGGTCAGTGACATTTCCTCTTTTATGCAAAATGGGATTGTCAAGATATCTGGCACTTTCAGTCTTAATGAAGTATAGTTTTATTTTTTTCTTTCTGATGCTGGTATTTTTCTTTCACTTGTTAAGCAAATGGTCATTTATTTCCAGACATTGATGCGGCCAACATGTTTTATGCAGGAGGCCGCGATGCAGATTTGCCGTTGGTGGTAAGTCGGCCTATGGTGGAGTTGTTTGCACTGTAAACGGGGTAATTACTGTGGAAAAAGGTTTTGAAGGTCTTTAAAAATGCTAAAATAAGCCACACACAAAACACATAAAAAAAAAAAATCCCCAAATGTTGATAAAGCTTAAAATGAGTCACGCAAAGTAAGCTACAGATTTTTAAAAATCCCCAAGTCTTGATGAAGGTTACTAAAATAGGCCACGTAAAGTATAAGCTTTAAAGATTCCCCAATTTTTGAAGAAGCTCAATAGCTAATCATTATATTTTCTTTTCACAGTATTGGCGTCTTCTGTACGCCTCATAATAGTTAATTCCGTATTAAAGTCCATAGTACTTGCATAGGTCCAAGACACACTGCTACGCGCACGAGTCAATGATATTATCAGTAAATCTGCTGTTTTGCATGAATAAGTGGGTATCTTACTCACTTCAATAAGCATTCACTCTCTACAAGTTTCATATTATACGCTAATGTCGATAAGGAAACGTTTGCTTCAGAGGAAAAAAATATACATACACGCTAGCTTTATACCATGCCGATGTATATGTGTCAGTACAAATTAAGTGATATAAATGGCTTCAAATATCCTATAGATATTATAGCCAACCCAAATGGAGGTGTAAAACAAAAGTGAGATACTTGAAATATCAATCTATATTCACGGGAGTTTTCTCCGAGAGCTCTTCCTCGTGAGTGATCGCGGGGCATGGGAAGGGTATTTTTTCAGTTATATCTGCAGTTTGAATATCAAATTACCAATAAAAATATGTATTTTTATAAGTATTATTATAAATATTAATAGCAACTCATGACGAATTACGTATCAGTACATGATTGGCGGGATTGAGCAGCTCGTTCTGCGCATGTGCAGGATTAAGATTTGAGCTCAAAAGGTTGGTCTGGAGGTGAATTAAATTTAATCCTGGACGCTGCCAATACGCATGCTTAATGGCAGCGTCATAACTTTTACGGCGCGTACAGACGACGCCCGAAGTTTAAACGCTTAATTTGAGTCATTTTTTTTCAGGGTGTGCTAACAGGCGTCGGCGGTAACCGACCGGGGCCTCCGATTCGAGTTGGTCCGAAGAAGCGGTGTCTCCTGTACGGTGATAACGGCCGTTGTGTCTACTGGTCGGGAATTGGATAATTATATTGTTTGGTTTTAGAATCATTGTTTTGTTCGGTTTATGTTCAATTCAGTTCAGATCCGGGTTTTTTTTCTATTGCCTATCCTCTTTTTTTCTTGGTTTTGCTTTATTTCAGTTCGTTTGTAACATCACTGCTGATCGTTTTTTTTTTTTAACGTTCAGTTGAGATTTTGTAAATTTCAGAATATATTGGTTAACAGTTTGTGTTCCGTTTATTTCAAATCAGCCTTTTGAATTCCCATTCAGATCAATGTTTCATTTTAATTCAATTCAGTTTGAATTCGTTTCTTTGTCGTTTAAGTTAGTTAATTTCTTATTAGAAATCAGCTCAATAATTCGTTTGGTTCCGTTTGGATCACTTTCGAGAAATATGCAATTGCTTCAAAACTTTATCAAGGAAGAAACGTTTACCTTCTCTCAATATGAACATGATGTGTCTATCTCGTGTGTCTTGTAGCCTGTTATTCTAAATACATATTTACCTATTCCATGTTTCTTTTTAAGGAAATACAATTTTAAAAATAATACACGCGACAGAAATAACGTGGTGTATCAAGACTCAGAGCGAAAAGCAGGATGTTTGTCTGTCTTTCCTGTTGAGACCAGTTACAGTAGACTTCAAAATAAATGGTGATTATGAAAGCTGATCTGATACCTCGAGTACAGTCCTGGTACCTGTACATCAGCCCTGTGCAACCTGCGGCCCAAGGGCCGCATGCGGCCCTCAAAGGCTTTCATTGCGGCCCTTTCTCCTAAAAATAAATAAACTATAGTGCGGCCCTCAGAGAGAGAGAGAGAGAGAGAGAGAGAGAGTTACCAAGTAGAGCCCACCGAAAGTTTGACAAAATTCATATTCTCGTGTACCAGTATCACCATATTTTTTCTATTTCGTTCACTAGAAAAAAGGAAATGTCTGTTTTTTATAATAATTCTTGTTAATGATCCCAGTCAACCAACAATAACTAATTATTTATGTTTGTACATTATAATAATAAGGTACGGTAGCCTTTCATTTGCTAATTTATAGTAAGGAAAATGCATTTGTTTCGGAGAATTCTTATTTTTGTGATCCCAATATAAATAAAATCAGTAACAAAATTATTTCCTACCTTTATCAGTATAATCTCACATAATATGTCTTCGACCGTAGTAAATAACATGAAATAGTAAGGTTATGTGGCCCTCCATACCAACAGAGTCGTGACTAGTGGCCCTTTGGGAAAAAAAGGTTGCACACCCCTGCTGTACATCTTTGGCTCCTAGTGGAACCCCCTCAGCCTTCCTCATGATACCCTTGGACGTATAACAGACGTAAGATGACGTCAGTGTAATGTGTAAAGATAGATATGATGAAATAAATCAATATAAAAGAATTCTCGTCCTTGGAATATGGCATTGAATCCTTTCAGTGAGTCTGGAATTCTGTCAAAGCCGATAACTGGTACTGGTAATGGTACCCCTTTCATTTGGTACCCTGAACATGACAGATCCAGAGCTAATGATGATAAACCCCATAATGATTAACTCCAGCAGGCAAGCAGGAGCCCCAGTAAAAGAAGAAAAACTCTGCTGGTACTCATAGTTTGGCAGATAGAAAACAGTAGAGGGTTTCAATCAAATCCTCACGTTTAACTCCTTATTTCAACCGATTTTTGACCCGTTACATGATTTTGTCCGCAATGGTTGTATTTTGAAGACATCTCCGTGGCACTTGTACAATGGGCCTTAAATACTGAACGGGTTTCTAGAAGCATTTATGAAACCAAAAGACAAAAAATGCTTTAGAATATTCGAGGATTAAAAAGATAACTCGGCAATGCTGTAACAGATTTCTCACAACGTATAAAAAATAACAGTATAATTTCGCACCAATTCATTTTTCCGGGATAATATTAAAATCACAAAACTTCAAGGGAGAACCATGCATAATAATGACTAAACGCCACAGCTGCACACTCTTGAAGGTGTTTGTGTGGCTGATATGAGCGGAGG